TCCTGTTTTTTGATGCTCACCTCCCCCTGCTGAGCTCAACATTTTCTGGCTTTTCCTTCCCTCCTCTCACTCCTTTGCTGTCCTGTGTAGTGATTTGGTGAGAGAAATTATGGCTGCCTACCCCCCAACCCACCTCTCCTGCACTACATATAAGTTTCAAGTTTTATTATTGCCATAAAAGTGCTTTACGCTGGCTTTTCTCAAAAAAAGAAAGAAAGAAACTAGTAAGTGATCCAGTTGAGACTCATTCAATGAACCAAGTCCAGTTCATTGTTTCCACTATATAATGAAAACTTTCAAAAAACAGTCTTAAGAACAGTAACACTTAAAACATTTCTCCTATAATTTTCCAGCATAGAGACCAAAGTGCCAAGTATCATCTAACTTAGAAAAGAATAAGCAAATTGGTGGTTGCTATGGAGCCACCTTAGCTCTTCCTTGCTAGTGAAGTTGGGGTTGACACTGAAGGCTATTAAAAGTTATCGTGAGCCAACGCTTACATATTCTCTAAGTAATGGCAAAAACATGAAAGTTGGGATGAAATGGTTCAAAATGCTATTGGAGAAGGTTGAGAGTGGGGATTCAATGGGGGAATCAGGATCAACCAGCAGATGGAGCCTCTGATGGAAAAAGATTGCTTTGAAAAATGGGGTAAAATAAAAGCTATAACTCATAAATATAAAATCAAACAATACTTTTTGGCAAGGAGGAAAATCAGAGGTGACAAAGTGTGGGTAGGAGACCTAAAACATGAAAAATTGTGCAAAGACATAGATTATTACTGCAGCAGGACAATGAGGAGCTAGGAAAGTCCCTGGGCAAGTGGAATGGGGAAACTGAGACAGGGAAAATAAACAAGGCCAAACAGTTTGGGCAGCTTGCAGCCTGTGACTCGAAAGACCTTATCTTCCCCAATCAAGGACACCTGAGAGCAAATGGTTCCTACCTCCCCTCCCTCACCAGAGAATACATAGCTTACATCACCCTGGCCTGGGAAAATGGAGAACAAAGACCCAGTTAATGCCACATGTTCCAGCTGAACCCAAGGACAGATGAAGTTGGGGAACACATAACAAAAACCTCATTGAAGCCAGAAAGACCTAAGATAAAAGTAAAACAGACCAAAGGATAATCCAAAACTCCCCTATACACTCATTTTAATGCATCAGCATATTAAAAATGCACCTGGAAAGCTGATGAATATTGTACTGAAACCCTCCTCTAAAGATTCTCCCCTGCATGAGAAAAAAAAAAAAAAAGGATTAAAAAGCCCTCAGGACAAAGACTCAGTGCAGCTTGCTCTAGAGCATGCTCCTGTCCCTTCCCAGGCATCAACTTTCATTTCTAAGGGTCCCCACAAGACTTGCAGCCAGGGGAGCAATGGGCAGCAGCAGCTCAACCTGGGCTCACCCCCTGATTCTGTCTCCAAGGCCCCCTTTTCTCTCACTTCCCAGCTAAAAGCAGCCCTGCCCAGGTTCACTTCTATCACCACGACCTTCACTTCCCAGGGAGATAAAGCAGCCCCACCCAGGCTCACCTTTCTCGTGTAACATTTCCAGAGGCCAAAGCAAAGCACCGCCTAGGCCAGGGGTGGGCAAACTTTTTGACTCGAGGGCCACAATGGGTTCTTAAACTGGACCGGAGGGCCGGAACAAAAGCATGGATGGAGTGTTTGTGTAAACTAATATAAATTCAA